TGGAATTGCCTTGGGGGTAGCAGGAATAGAATAAATATAATGTGTTTTAATCGAGGGACAAGGGTCTAAAAAATACTCAATTTTGGTTGAATTTGTTATTATGATACTAAATTTTCATGAGATCTATTACCTCATTAGACTATTTAGTATCGTATTTTTTAACCCTGAAAGTTTAGTATAAAATACCCATTTTTCTTAGTAAACATGTTTCAAGTTATGAACAAAAAGATACTTTTGCTTTAGGAAAATTGGTGGAATATTACATTGGTCCAATTTGTTTCATTAGTGCTTTAATTAATTGATCGAGCGATTAATTTTTCGACTAGAGTTTGGAGTATTTTGACATAGTACAATAGTCCTGGCAACAATTAGAGTTTAGAGTATTTTGACAAAATAACAAATAACAGTCAACGTGTTATACTATGTAAATTAATTTCAAGTTAATTTATTTTTTCATTTTACATGAAACTAACTTTAATAATATAATTTTTTTGAGCTCAAGGGATTTTAACTCGTTAACCTACTCTATGTTAACTTTAAACTTATTGCTCTTTTTTACTTCAATCAAAAAAGAGAAGATAATAAGTATTATATTATACCATAGAAAGAAAGAAACGGATATCATCACATTAATAATTTTCATAAAAAGAGAAAAAAACTAGAAAAAAAGGAAAAAACAAGAATTTTGTCAATATAACTGGAAAATAAGAGAGAAGAAAAATACTAGAACAGAAAATGAAAGAATTTTGCCAATTATTGTTGTACATTTTTCAAGAAATTTAAAATTAAATAATTAAAGCGGATTCAATAAAATAATTAAGACAAATATATTACTATTTCTTAAAATTTTAGTTTGAAATAAAAATTATTTAAATTGGTTGGATGTCTTTTCAGATTATAAAAACTAAGTTTAGTGACTTTTTAAATGAAATATCAATAGTTGAGTAACTTTTGGGTTATAAAATAAAGTTGAATGACTTTCTATGTGAATTATTCAAAGTTGAGTGACTTTACTATTCAAAGTTGAGTGATCATATGAGATATTATCTCCTATCAGTAACTAACATCAATTTCTCAAGTTCCTCTATGATTGCATGTACATATTTCAAGTAACTACTCAATTAATAAAAAATGAGATATATCATGAGCATATAAAGTGTGAGCCTCTTTTCAAATTAACTAATTTATTTGGATTAATAGACTAGATAGGAATAAGAGTTTGAAAAATATCTCAATTTTGGCTGATATTGCTATTACGTTACCAAACTTTATGGAAGATCTATTACCTCCTGAACTATTTAATAGTGTATTTTAAAGGTATATATGTGTCCACGTGGACACATTACTATTTATAATTATGCATTATTTTTATGTCCATGTGGGCAAATATATATGTTTAAAATACAGTATTAAATAGTCTGGGGGTAATAGGTCCTCATTAAAGTTTGGTATCGTAATAGCAATATCGGCCAAAGTTGAGATATTTTTCAGACCCTTATCCCGACTAGATATGAGCATTAACTTAAAATCAATAAATGCTATAAGAAATTACAGAATGGAGCACAAAACTTTTGCTATTGTACTTGAAATTTATCATCATTCTAATAAGTCAATGTGAACACTCAAACTAAATAATTTATTATCATTCTAGTTAAATCATCGACAATACCTTAATATAGTTAAGTCAATGAGAACAATAGTCATTCAAGTTAAGTCAATGTGAACACTTCACCTCTATACCATCCATCAAACTCAAATAGTGTCATCTTCCTATCAAAAAAATTGTAGTTATAGTAAGACTTGAATTTTCAATTTCCATTCAATGGCCTTTTAGAGCCAAAAATACCAAACTCAAATGATACGTTGGATTGAAAAGATGTCTAGCAAGAGTTGCAAAGATATATTTGGTAGATCAAAATTGATTGAAAAAAATGAATTTGAAAAATTTTGTTATGACAATTACAAAATAATAAAATTTATATAGGCTGAGGTGAAATAATAAAATGAGCCATATGAATCAATAAACAATTTCAAAATTCCGATATAAAAAAAAAGAAGAAAAAAGATAGACAATATTCACATTCGAGAGAATTTCTTGCATATCTTCCTTTTTCTTATTGGCAAAATCATTATTGATGAAGTTGATACTATCTTTATTTGCCAAAGCAAAATTTTCATCCTATCAATTTTTCCCCAAACGGGGGGAAGATATTTAATAATTGTTTTAATTATTATGCCCTCCTGAAAAACACATACTCCATCCGTTTTAAAAAGAGTGATCTGATTTGACTTTGCACGAAGTTTTAGAAAACAAAGTGGAAAGTTAAAATTAAAATGTTACCAAAAAAGGAAAGAGGTCATTCTTTTTGAAACAGACTAAAAAGGAAAAAGGGTTATTCTTTTTTAAACGGAGGGAGTATAATTTTTCAACCAATGATATGTACCACATACCTTATTTAAGAATGACTTTTATAAATACAGAAAAATTATGCGGATAAACAAATATATATTAGTTATTAGCTAACACAGCTATAGTTTGAATTAATTACAGCTCACATCTTAATTTAAGTTTCGCTTGTCTCCCTTCTCCCTCTCTCCAATCTCGCTCGCCTCTTTCCCCCTCTCCCAATCTCGCTCGCCAGATATACAAATACATATGTATACCAGTTATATATATACAATTATCTGACAAATATACATATACAATTGGCCTCTCTTCTTCCTCTCCCTTTCTCGCTCGCCAAATATACAAATACATATGTATATCAGTTACATATATACAATTATTTGACAGATATACATATACAATTCGCCTCTCTCCACTCTCTGCCTCTTTCGCTCGTCTCTCTCCTTCCTCTCCCAGTCTCGCTAGCTCTCTCCTCTATATTACATGTAGCTAAATAATTAACAAACTATAGTTATGAAGGATAATTAAGTTGTTTTTGAATGAATATATGCAAAAATTCCCCTAAATATATGTAATGTAATGTAAATCAATATTTATTATTGGGAAAAGGCACAAATTGCCCCCCAAACTTGTCACGAAAAGTCAGTTACACGCTTAAACTATTGTGACGACCTATTACACACCTTTACTATTTAAAAATGAATTTAATACCACCCTGAGACGCGTAACACCACTCTCACAGCATGTAGTGTATTACACTCGCTACCACATAATCGCCACGTCAAAATTTATAATTTCTTATATTCTTTTTGTTTTTTTTTCTTTATTAATCAACTTTCTTTTTGTTAACTCTATTTTACACTAATTAATTATTAAAATTCTCTAATAGTTATATCTTTTTTTATCACTAAATCCCACCCCACTTTTTCTCTAATCTCATCGGAGAAATCATTCATTTGAATTTATACAAGAATTTTCTTTGTCTTCTCCGGCGAAAAACAACCAACCCATCACCACCATAAGTCCATCTCCACAACGCCATTTGTTCTTTTTTTTCGACGAACCATCAGCCACCAAACAACCACCACAAAACAGCCACTCAAAATCCAAATCAATCACCAACAAACACCAAACCAGACCCCTTTACCTTATCCCTTTGCGACTTTTATTCTTTTGATTTGTTTTACAGGTGTGTCAGCAAGCTCAAAGCTTCAGCCATGGCTCTGATGAAGTTCCAAAGAGTTCCACACTTTCAGATCTGAATAATCACAACCAACAACACCATTACTACACTCACGTCATTGTAAATCTTTGAGGTTGTGATGAAAAATAAAAAGTGATGAAAATTAAAGAATGAAGAAGAAGAGGGTAATGGGTGGGGATGGAAGATTTTGATTTTTTAATTCTTTTTCTAAAGGGTAATGGGAGGGGAAGGAAGATTTTGATTTTTTTAATTCTTATTTAACTTTAATTTTTTCTAATGCGCCAGTTTTTTATTTTTTTTGCCACGTCAGTTTTAGGGAGTAAATAAATTTACTTTTAAGTAGTAAAAGTGTGTAATAGATCGTCAGGTTAGTTTAAGAGTGTAACTGACTTTTTATGATAAGTTCAAGGGAGAATCTATGCCTTTTCCCTTTATTATTATTTAAAGTAATTAGAAATCAAGAATAAAGAAGGTCCAACAATAATAATATTAGAAAATGCAAGGCGAACAACTTTGACAAATTTGATATGGGAGCAAAATAAGCAAAGAAAATAATATCAAAAGTAACCAGACATTAGATGGTGAACAAAAACTTATAACCGACTAAAATGAAAGCTAAAGCCAACATAGATATACGGCAAGCTTGAATTGCAATTTACCCAAAAAAAACATTACATCACAATAAGTACAAAATATTACTATAAATAGCCTATAGCTACAAAACAAAGGAATTATCTTGGATCTATATTGAGGTATTGTCGGTGATTTTCTAATCTTGTAAAGCAAAATTGATATCTATTCATCTACTCTTAACGAGTAAAGCAAATACTTTATTCTAAATTTAAAAATTTAAGATCAATCAAATATCCTTAACTAGAATTCAAACCTAGGATTAATTAATATTCGATAGTTTTATCATCAACTTACTAAGAAACAACATAAAATTTGATATCATAAAGTTGAATTTTATACAATTTTCATTTTTAATCTATCATCAATATAAGCTCAAAGCTTTGACTCCAACCATATATACTTCACAATATTTGGAAAAAAAAACTTAATATGTTCATTGATTCAAGTTTCAGATTTTATTTTTTTTGCACAATTCAATTCAGTATATAATTAAATTAAGGATCTTTTGAGGAAAAAAAAAGGAAAAAAAATTAAAAGTTTTTATTGAACACGTGTCATCCACGTGTCAAATCAATGCCTGGTTGTAAACGGTGAGTGACATATAAATACTACTCCATAAAACGCCGTTTTGTCAAATTATAACCAAGCAGGTCACATCCGTAATAGTGATATGAACAAGGGTTAAATCGGTACATTTCACTGACCTTTCAGTCTGAAAATCGAAGCTTCTTTTTCTTCACTATTTTTTTTTTCTTCTTATTTTGACTTGAAAATTTGTTTATGGCTTAATGGTATATTCCTTGAAATTGATGGAAATTTCTCCTATTTTTTTATTTGATTAATATATTTTTAATAGTTCTTTGATCTTTGATTTCAACATTTAAGGGTCAAATTCAGTGTTTTTTTACCCAGTACAGATTGTTATTGAATTCATTGGACTTTTCTTCACTGTGGTATGTTTTCATTTCTCTCATTTAGCATTACTTTTTTTGTTTATTGATTTTGATGGATTTTGGATTATGGGTTTTCTGTTTCTTGCTGTTTTGGGTTTTGTAGTGCTTCAATTTGCTGGAAAAATGAAGTTTTAGGAGTTATAGTTGATGATAATATTTTCCCCTAAATTGATATATGAAACGCCGTGGATATAGGGGATTGATTTACATAGTTTAGGAGTTGGGAGTTGCTGATGCTTTGTAGTTTGTGATGAAAACTCAGTGGCATTGGAGATGAGTAGTATAATTAATTGTTTAGTTTTGCATTGTGCAATTAGAACAAAAAAGGACTAACTTTTTTTGGTTTTGATTTGTACTTATTGTGTTCTTCCAGTTGTTGCTTGTTTTTACCTCTTAGTGTTGGAAAACTAAGGATCTGTGTGTAGAAATTTCGTCTTTATCTTACATGGCGCAAATAGATTGGAAGTAAAAAAAAGGGAGGAGGATAATATGGTTAACTTTTCAAAAAATAAAAATAAAGAAAGAGAAGAAAAGGATCCACTTTTTTTGGGATTTGACTTTGAACTTGTTATTTCTTAGGTAAGTGTTGGAAACTTGAGGATTTGTATGTTGGAAATATTGTGATTTTCCCTGTTAATCAACCCTTGATATAAATGTGGTGTCCAGTCAGTTTGTGTATCTTGACTAGTTCCAAGTGGTACTTGCTACCTCCACCAACCTAGGTACCAGGTAGCTCTCCCCTTCAAGACTTGGATAGATGACAAGAATTTACTTTTTTCCTCTATTGGGCTGGGATTTGAACGTGAACGTGAGATCTTATGGTTCTCAACCCACTTCATTAACCATTAGGACACACCCTTGGTTGCAACTTTACTTCTGTGTCCATGGAATCCAAGAGAAGGGCTGAAAGCAATTTGTTTATCACGATTACTTAAATATCTGCACATGTACTTTTACTGCAGAAGCGTCCTTATTATGATGAATTCGGATTGATACAATATGGCTCATTGGAAACGAAAAATTGAGTCCATACATCAGTACACACAATTTTTTCTTTCCATGTATAATTAACATGAGTTGCAACTATCATTGCTAGTCTCTAAGAATTTCTTCCATATGTTTAAAATTATTTTATTTTGATGAATGTTTAAAATTATTTTATTTCTAGTCCTTCGATTTAAGTGTTACTTGAAATCCGTACGTGGATCTCAATTCATATGGTGGTCAAGTTTATGAACAAGAACACCATTTTTAATAAGATAAAGGATTTTATTGATAACTAGTATCAGGAAGGTACATAAAAATACAAAAGAGATCTACAGTGAAACTGCTACAGTTACAACATCAAATACTCTAAAAACTCCCATGGAAGAGTTGGCCTTTCCAATGGACTACTCTTACACCACAGATGTAGTGTTTGTAAGCATCTATACTTCACGAAGGATGAATGCAATTTTTTCCCTTCGAAGCATCTAATGATTCTCTCCAACCATAGTGTCCACATGATGCATATTTAGGCAGTCTTCTAAGCTTTTTCTTCCTATTTTCAGTCCACTGCCCTTGCCATCAAGATAAGAGGCTTCTCACAGTCCACTACCCAGCTGACTCCAAAAATGTTAAGAGTGCATGACCATATCTTCTAGGAGAATTTACAGGAAGTAGAAGACAATTGTTTGTTTCCGGTGAGGCTTCACATAAGAAACATCTATTGCACAGAGATAGACCTCTTTCTTGAAGAGCAGCTATCCATCCAAAACAAACTGCTTTAGGGGGGCCCTTGTTCTCCAAAGCATTTTCCAAGGCCGATTGAACTCCCAGTTCTCTTCTTGCTGCTGTACAGGAGTGTAGTAACTCTTCACAGTGAAGTATCCATTCCTGTTCCTAGCGAAATTTGAGAGTTCTTCCTGTTAATATCAATGGAAATAGGATGCAGAAAATTTTATAGTTGGGTAATTTCATCTAATTCCTAGTCACTAAATCTCTTCCGAAGTGTATAAGCCATCCTGTGACCGTGAAGCAATCAGCCACCATGACTTCTTTGTTTAAGCACATGTTGAATAAGCTAGGGAAGATATTCATCAGTCTCCCATTTTCATGCCATTTTATCTGTCTGAAAGTTAATGTGTTCTCCCACTTCCTAGCTTAAATGTGCTATTCTGTTGAAAGTCATCCCAAGGTCTACAAATATTTTTCCATACAACTGTGATATTTTGTGTTACCACTGCTTTAGGGGCCCAAAGATCCTTTTTCCCATACTTAGTGATGATAATGGATAAATTCTCTTCTCCTCTCCTTGTAATTTCTCATGGTATCATAGTCAGGCTCATCCCAATTTATGATTTACCAATGAGCCCCATATTGAGGTTTTCCACGCACCAAATGTTGCGTCTTGGGTGTGAGGTGGGGTGTGAACTCCCACATCGGTGGGATGAGGAGAAGATGGTCTCCTTATATAGACATGCACAATCCTCCTCCCTTTGAGCTAACTTTTGGGGTTGAGTTACGTCCAAGATTCATTTATTTACAATAATAACTACTAAATTTGGTCGCGCTTCCCGGTTTTAATCCATTTTATTATTAACACTTCGTTTTAGATTTTCTCTAACTTTTCATCACCTTGGTTCTATCCAAAGAGAGAAATAAAATAAAATTCCCTAAGGACCTTCTTATTATCTAAGTTGCGCGGACTCTTCACTTTCGATGCCGCACCCGTGTCGGATTCTTCAAAAATACACTACTTTTAGCGAATCCGACACGCACCCCTTGACATTTTTGAAGAGTTCGAGCAACATAGCTTATCATTACCTGAAAACAAAATAATCTAGCATTCTGAAAATGAACACAAAATTATATATGGAATATGGAAAATAAAGGGTTGTACATATTAGTAGCCGATTAATTAATATTGATTCCAAAACATGTATATGTGTACATGTACATGTACATAGAGTATTGATTGCAGCACCGACAAAAATAGTTCCCTATTACTAAAAGCTTGAGATTGATACTACTAAAATGCAAAAAAAATAGATATGAAAAAGCAACCATATACAAATAAACACTAAAGATAATCCATACCAACGATGACCATGAGAATCGAAAATATATAAACTTAAATTCTTTGTTTCACAGGGGAAAAAAGGAGGATTGAAATTGAAGTCTCTACATAAGCTTCTTATTATCGAATCCTGGTTGTAAACAGTGTTCCAAAAATGAATAGATTTTTTGTTAGCTACAACTCATAGCAAAGTGTTTGTCATAATTATATTGAGTGAGTGACTATCCATACTTGAAACAATTGCCTAGTGGTCAATGATGTGGTTGAGAGCCATGAGGTTTCAGGTTCGAATCCCAACGGAGACAAAAATGATAGGTGATTCTTTACATTTGTCCTAGCCCTGGTGGACAAATTACATGGTAATTGTTGCTTGTAGGAGGTGGCAGATATTTCGTGAAATTAATTGAGATGCGCAAAAGCTGGCCTGGACACTATGTTCATAATGAGAAAAAAAAAGAGTTGTCATTTACTTTTAAGTTCTTACAACCGGTATTTTCTTGTCCCCTTTCTTTTTAGTGTGTTCTTATCCCTTTCTTTTTATCCATTAAATTTTGATGCAATTTTTACTTCATCCTTTTCTTATAAGCTTCAAATTATGAGAGAGGCTATTTGATCCAACAACTCCATACGTGATTGTTATTTATTGATTGATTAAGTTATAAGAATTAGGAGGCATGTTATTTAAGTAGAGAACACAAATATATGGAATATTGTTGTAACTCATGAGATATAATTAGATGCAATAAATACGTTAGCATTAACTAAATTGATTAATGAAGAGAATGTAGGAAAAAAATCAAAAAAGGAGATAAAAGATAAATAATTTTTTAGGCCATATAGAGGCATGGGGCGTACCCACGTATAGCGTATCGGGTGCTCGAGCACCCATTGATCCTATTGGAAACTCTCTTATAGAGAGAGAAAATACTGGAAAATCGATATAATCTATTCACAAGCACTCATAAACTGAAAGGTCAGACGGGTGCTTTGGTTCTAAAGCTGACGTTTGAGTGTTTTAAATCCCCCGGGTGAGGGTTCGAATCTTGGTAACTGAAACTTTTTCTTACATTTGTTTTGGAGATGCCACATCACCTTGTCTATTCAGCAAAGGCAAACACTTACTTTATTTACATTTTCACATTAAGATTGTATTATTTCTTTTTAAGATAAGTATTATTGGCTAGGAAATTCCCTGAAAAAAAATACAAACATCCCTATACTTGTACAAAGCTCTATAGAAGATTTATGATATAATGTACTAATTTCACTCCACACTTTGTCATCCATGCATGGTTTTAGTAGGAATTCTACCACAGGGAAGCAAACTGAAATTGAATTCTCTTCAGTTGGAAAAGAAAGAAGAGTCCAAGTTTAAAGCTGTTATTTATTTTAATGGTGCCATTTACAGGTTCTCTCTTCAGCGAGTTTGATATACCTGAGTATAGTACATAATGCGTACACGATCACTTCTTGCACATTGCTTGCCTGGTCTCATATCGCAAGATCGTGGGTGTCACATGTCAGTCATATCTGACAAAGATGTCCATCTTCCCTCACCGGCTGTGGAGATAGTTCCATCAAAGGTATACCTTCTTTAGCTGGTTTCAAAATGTTCCCTTTTAGCTTTTCAGTTTTCTTGAGTCTCACGTATGCATTAAATTGTGCAGGCTACTCATCCCTACAAATATGTTGGGGAGACTGTAGATTTGGATGTCTTCAAGGTACAAATAGTTCACTTATTTTGCTATTGATACAATTGTTTTAAGTGAAGTTGCTGGTCATATGTCTCAAGGATGGGTGGCTACTCATAACTCTTTCCTTATTTTATTCTGATAAGGACTCATAACTCTCTCCTTATTTGAATTCCGGGAGGAACTGGCTGACATAGTGACATGTATGTGGGTTTGATTTTAGATTTCATCTGTTCACGGTTTGGACCGTGGACAAAAATCGATCCAAATCAAAAAATCGAATCAAGCTGATAAATAAACCGATTATATGCGGGTTTGATTTTAGATTTTTAGAAACCGATAGTATTTGGTTTGGTTATGGTTTTGTTCAAAAAAATCGAAGAAATAACTGAACCAATACTTATATTTTATTATTATACATGCATAATATATTATTTTTTAAAACAATTTTAAATATCTTATATATGTTTTCAGCAAATTTTATCTATAATTTATTTATGAAAGCAAAAACGTCCAAGACGAGAACATTTATCTTATTGGTTTTATATATACGAGTGTCTGTCGCAATTCTTGGTGGGACTAGAAATGTCACTGTCTCTCTCTTCTAGGCCAAAATGGTGAATTTTGAAGCTTTATCGAAAGTTCTATAATGTTAGTCGTTCTTACTATTTTTCATTTTGGAAGAATTGTTATCTTTTCCCCCTCTTTTGAATGAATCATTTTTTAAATTTTTTTTGTGTATGGTTAATAACCGAATAACCAAACAAAATCAAACTGAAATCGTTAACAACCAAACCGATAAATATTTGTTGTATTTGGTTTGGTTTGGTTTAGATAATTTAAAAACCGATTAAATTGGTTTGGTTTTGGTTTTGACCAATAACGGGCCCAAATCAACCCGTGAACACCCCTATACTGACATGGCAGGAAACTACCTAGGACCGAGTTCTAATAACAATATCTTCCTTTGGGAAGTCATTGTGTACCTGTATGTTTCCTAAACATGTAAAAACAATTTATAAAAAAGAATTAACAATGTCCAAGAATCCCCAATGTGGTCAATTTGAACCTCATATTACAAAATGGGCCATCTCTCTTGAAATTGAGAGAATATAGTTTTACAGTCAAATCTGTGTTTTTCACTTGAAAATCATGCATGCCCTATTGCACTATCCTGAGCTTAAATATATATGCATAATTTTTTTCCCGAGCATTAAGATGCTAAAAGATTTCAATATGTAACTTGAAATGCACTTGTTTCTATGTGATGCAGGGTAGAGTCAGTGTTGCTGATATTATTGGATTCACTGGTTCAGAAACAATATCCTCAAAATCAGATGGTAGGTACAATTGCTGGTTTCTGCATAGGCCAAATGTTATAAATAATTCTTAACAAGTTTTGTTGTCGGAAATTGTCAAAGGGCGTTGAATAACCAGTTTTAGTTGATCTGTTTCACTACAGGGCATCTTAAATCTTGGGACATCTCAATTGATCTTGTTAATGTTCTCAAGCATGAGATTCGGGATGGACAACTGAGCTTAAGAGGCAAAAGGGTGCTTGAGGTACTTCATCTGAAATCATTCATGTGATTTACATGCATTTTAACCATTTATCACCTCATCCTCCTTTTGTTGGATAACAATGAAATAACATGCATATTTGGAAGAATCTAGATCAATCTACATACAAGTTTCTACAAAGATCTGTTCAATCGCCAGGGGGTTCATTTCTAAGCAGAGAAGTATGTGATAAATGTAATACCTGTTTAGTAGCATGTTTTTGGACTCACTATCAACAGATTCTAGGAAACATGTGTTAGATGGTAGAAGCGAATGATCTTTATGGTTCCTTTTGGACACCACCAACTTAACTGTAGCACAAAATTCGATCAGAATAGACACTGCAAAAATGGATCTTTTGGAACTTGGTATAAGCATTTTAAATCACCTTAGAGGACCTTGATGATGAGATAGGCTGAGAGCAAGCAGAAGATCATAATGCTTGATTCAAGAGTAACCTTTTCGCGCCATTGGACCTTAGCAAAAGTCTTTTTGGAAAGATAACTATTTTGCCTCCAAGATATAGGGCCCCTAAGATGCATAATTACTTGGTGCCTTTTGAATTGTAGCTCATTTCATCAAAAGATTTATGCACATGATATACTGCACATAACCACCCACAATGTGGCTTGCCAAACATAATGTTTTAGAAACTTTTCCATAAATCCCCAAAGCATGCTGAAATAACTTGTGATTATTGTTGATTAATGGTGGTAATGCTGGCACTGAATAGTCTTAGTGCATCATATTTTTGGTTACTTAATAGTGTTGCTTGAAATCTTTATCTTTGATCTTGTGATACATTTCTTGGTGAATTGCTTAAATGGCAAGTTTGTGCCTTTAGCATTTGCTTATATTACAGCTTTGCTTGTCATTCAGTCTATCATCTCTCCTCATATCTATAGGAGATGAAGTAACCATACCTAGTTGTATTCCGAATATTCCTCACTTTAAATAGTGGAAGTTAATTCTGTTTTCTTTTATGGACTTTTTCCTTTCAGCTCGGTTGCAGTTATGGGCTTCCTGGCATTTTCGCTTGTTTGAAGGTAACAGCATTAATGTAGTCTTGTGTGCAGAAATATATGACAAATATAATTTTGAATGTCATTGGTGTGAAGTGTTCAGGAAGTATTTCTAAATTGAATCTAGGCACACAAAGGGTGTCAACTGCTGGAAATAAATCAGTTGATTTCTGAGAAGTCGTGTCTTGATTATCATATTTGTCACGAATCATCACCAAATATGTGCATCACTTCAAACCAGGATTTTCATAACTCAATAGAAGTCATTTAATCCCACATTTGTCAGTATCCTGTGATCCTTCTTATTATTCCTTTCTGTTCCTTTTGTAACCCTCTTTTCTTGGGTGAAATTTGGATATACATTCAAAAACTAGCTTATCATAAGTCTCAATCTCAAGCTAGTTGGAGTCTGTTATAAGAATCATCACTATCCATTATACTCCACTTGTACCCTCACTTCATTCTAATAATCATTTATTTAGATTCTTTTGACATTACAACTTTTCCACTTTTTCTACTCAGATATGAATTTCTAACAAGATCAGAGGACTTATTGCAATTAATGGACCTAATTTAAGCAAACCAAATGGCTAACTCTCCTCTTGCCTATATCTATTTTTTTTCCCATTGTATTCGATCTTTGCTAAGTCTTCTTGGACTTTAAGAAACTTTAGGTCGTTTAAGACAAACCCTCTTATATGTGATTTCGGGTTTGTTCTGCTTCTTTTTAATGCCTTTCAATCATCATGGTTACACTTATCCACCTTTATGCCGGTGCATTTGAAGGTCTTGTAGGCATTGACCAAATCATTTCAAGTGATCTTCTCAAGTTTTATTCTCTGCATGTGCTACTTGCACTTTCTGCAGAATTTGTATATTTCTATTGTTGAATAATTATTTATGACAGCACATCCATCTAAACATTTATGTTTATGGGAGATCCATCTCATAGATATGATGGATCCCATATAATATTATTAACCTAACTACCATCTTATAGAACTTACCTTTCACTTGGTAGGTATTCTTCTGCAACATAAAAACCCAATAGTATTTTTCTATTTCAACCGTCCTATTTTATGGGCCCAACAACCATTTTATAGAACTTACCCTTCACTTTGATAGGTATTCTTTTCCAGCATAGCATCCAACAGCATTTTTCTATTCCTATTTTAATTTTGTTGTTACATTTTTATATACCGTATCATTCATCGAGCTTAGGTAATCTGAACTTCATACAATTTTCAACTTTTCATCATGACCATTTTGCAAAGCCAACTTGTAGAAGCTGTCATTGGGAATTCTGTGATTTTCAAGGAAGAAGTTGAGAGGCTCAAAATTTCAGTCTTTCTCAGAAGTATAACCTGGCCAAAATAGATGTATCCCTGTTAAATGGAGCACCTTTTTGGATCTTTCCATACTCTATTTACAGTGACAAGTTCTCCTTAAACAATGAACACTAGATTGCACAGTTTTGAAAGGGTGCCTCGTGAACATGAAGAAACTACTTGACCTGCAATGTGAACAACTGGTTTTGTGTGAGGTCCCAACATATCCCATGTAGTCCCACAAAGTGGAGTCTGCGGAGAATAGAGTGTACGCAGACCTTACCCTACCTTAGAGGTAGAGGTTTCTGATAGACCCTCAGTTTTGTGTTAGGTCCCAATGCGTAGTAATTTGTAAAACCTCTTAGGGTCCTGTTTTTGATCAATAAATTAGTTTTAAGAGCCTGATTGGTGCAGGTCGACAGTTTGCATTCTTTTTGGATATATTGTAAACTCTCATCACTTGGGGGAACTTAAATAATGCAGGAGGTGGATGTTAAGTCGAAAATTCAACTCATTTCACAACTCACAAGTGTGTGAATGCAAATGACAGAGCTACAAATATATAGTATACAGACATGGTTGCTGAAGTCTATAGGACCCTTGCTTTCACGTTACTCCTATAAACTGATGTAACATAACCTCTTGCAGGGAGCGTCAACGGTACATTTTCAAGACTTCAGTGCAGAAACTATAAGATGCACCACCATCCCTAATGTTTTAGCAAACATTGAGCAGGCCCGTGATAGGCAGAGCCGCCAACCTGAGAGTCCTTTGACTCCTTCAAGACAGATTCTTGCTCCAGTGGTACATTTTTATGCTGGGGAGTGGGAGGAACTCCCTACAGTCTTATCTGTGGTGAGGAATGATATATCTGAGGTACCAACAGGAAAGAGCCTTAGCTTGTCAGAGGAGGATTTCATGGATGGTTGTAGTAGCCAAGACGGGAGCATATTGGGTCTGGAGTCTTCCTTAAGGAGATCTAGGAAGCTCTCTGGAAGCAGAGCATGGGAGAGGGCTAATGATGCAGACAACGGCGAAGGTGGATATGATGTAATTTTAATGACTGAACTTCCCTACTCGGTGCCTTCCCTCAAGAAGCTATATGTGCTTATAAAAAAGGTAAACTTAACTCTTTAAACATGCTAATGAGTTTCCCTTTGCACTCCAGATTTTAGCTATTATGATTGATTTTACACCACCTCTATCTTTTCTTTTTATTTTTCACAAGTATTGGTTACTATAATTTTCATTTTGCATTTGTTTATTCAACGGGATAGAGCTGTGACAATTTCTCACCTTCTTTAACAGTGTCTGAGGCCTCCCTATGGAGTAATATACCTGGCTGCGAAAAGGAATTATGTGAGTTTTAACAGCGCAACACGTCATTTGAGAAGTGTGGTCGATGAGGAAGGTGTTTTTGGTGCCCATTTAGTGAAGGAGCTAGCAGATAGAGAGATTTGGAAATTCTTTTTCAAATAAAGGACAGTCAATTTCACTACTACTGCATTTCCTCAGCACCCTAAATTTTATTCATCTAGCGTTGTTTCTTTTTTACGCATTGATATTTATGTTACAAGTATCATATGATTACTAGAGCACCTTATGATAGTCAAGTTATCTATGGCTTTGGGTCCTGCTGGTTTATGTAGTTATTTATGCTTGTGTACCTTCTTTTCTTCCTTATTTTGAAGGTGTAAATTAAATGTACATTATCTTGGTTAATCTATATTTTCTTTGATTGGTTTTATGTGCGTTTAGCTTCTTGTGAGTTAAGTTAATGAGTATAACTTGCTTCACAGAGTAACAAAATTGCATTATGTTGTGACTGATAAAAGCCTGTATCCATAATCATAAACTAGTTGACTTCCCAACTAAGTCTAGCCTTAAATCCAGATTAGTTAGTTTGGTTGCTAGAATTTAGAAATTGTCTTCACCCTAGGAAAATAATTGGTAGTTAAGTAGGAAAAGATATTTTCCAATCATTGTTGATAATTTTACTTTTAAAACGAGTAACTACTTGATGAATAATCAAAAACTCATTGAAGATTAAATACATACACAATATATTTGACCTAATAAGAATTTCTAGGTAACATCATGCATTGAAGATAAATGTGTTGAGAAACCTCCCACGCATTCGATCATAAAACTAACCAAGCAGATTGAAGAAAAAAAATGCATACCAAACAAAGACCATTCATTGATGGCGTAGAAAATTGAACTTCATTAGTAACAAACGACTAGTGCAGATAATACATTCTTCCAAAGCAATGTTGTTCTATAGAACTCAAAAATCCATTACATTCAACAAAATTATAAAACTAAGTTCCACTGTCAAACCATCTCTTGTCCCATATCAAAATGAATTAGCATAAAACATGCAAAATTGGCTCAGGAAAAGGCAATTATCGCTTCTTGGAGACACCAACAGTCTTTCCTCGGCGACCAGTGGTCTTAGTATGCTGACCACGCACACGAAGACCCCAGTAGTGACGTAAACCACGATGATTCCTGCCACAATCACACAGTGAGAGATAAAGGATACACACAGACAAGCTTTAACAATAATGTGCATTAAAGTACTGAGAATATCAAACATAATATGTCATGTTAACAGCAAAAGTAGATAAGACCAACCTGATCTTCTTCAGGCGTTCCAGGTCATCCCTAAGCTTCATGTCCAGTGCATTAGATGTAACTTGTGAAAACTTTCCATCCTTGTAATCCTTTTGCCTATTCAAAAACCAATCAGGGATTTTGAATTGACGAGGATTTGCCACAACAACCATCAAGCTATCGAGCTCAGCAGCAGTGAGTTCACCAGCCCTAGAGAAAAGAGTGAAAGAAGAAATTTAGGTAACTTTGCAATAATTAAAATTATCAAAGCAGGAATACTTGGTGCAATACAAAAGAATGTAACTGCTGGTGAGGAACTTTCACATAGCAAAGGCAAAAAGGTTGGACACTTTAAAATTGACAACTACTGATTAAACTTTATGGTTCAAGACTAGACCATAAATAATGGATCATTCAAGCCTGTACTAGTGTAGCTGCACATTACTTGAAATTTCTGTAAATGTTAATATCATTTTTTTCTACACGCCCTACTAAGAAAATATGTTCTCTCCCAGAAAATAAGCATCATTATCCTTCCTCTATACTGCAAAGTAGCACCAACCTAATAAGGCAGCATATGATAACTTCTAGTCCAGCTACTACAACTATGTTGACAGCATTATCTGTGTCAGGATATAATCTATACTGAGTGAATACATCCCCAAAATCAGGAAGGGATAGTTTCATCATTCCTTTATCATTACCAGCCGTACATTAATGGCTCCCTCCAGTTTCCACTAACTAAGTAACCGAAAGACAATCAGCAATCTTCCTCATTAATCAATCTTAGTCTCTGAACCATTGGCCAGCCCAACTATTGGTTATTTATCAAAAAAATGACAGCAAGACTTGACAAGTTTGGTCATACATCCAATTATATAATCCTGAAGTAACTATTTTCATTTTTTTTCGCCAGGGAGCATTCATTGTAATTAAGTTTTACAGGAAAATAACAATACACAGTACACCAATAACATATAAACATCCCCGAAAGGTTTAAGAACTTATCATACACCCAAAGCAACGATCAGATCAAAATTTGAGCTTTCATTACATGATTAAATGGGAAGTATTTACCTTTAAGAATGATACCACATGCTAAGAGGTAAAAACGAAAACTTCATAATTAGTAGGGAGAAAAACAAGGAGGAAAAAGTAGTAACCTCTTGCTCATGTCGATATCGGCTTTCTTGCAGGCAATGTTAGCAAAACGACGACCAATACCTTTGATTGATGTCATAGCGAACATGATCTTCTGTTTCCCATCAACATTTGTGTTTTGAACACGAAGAATGTGCTGAAATTCTTCATTGGCAACAAGCGACTGCACACCAACCCAAAATCAGAAGCAATTCAATAGACTAAACACACAAATACAAATAAGAAATTATATCTCACCATGATTAGGGTTTCAAATCCTTCTCTGCGGTGCGGCTGCTTCGTTAACTGGCGAAGAGATGCAGAACTCCCAAAACCCTAACGCTGATGGATCAGTTTGAGATTATATATAGGCGGAGAAGGACAATATAGTAATTGTACTAGAGTGAAACTATTTGCTGATTTGCACTTAAAGTGCATAGATTTTGGAATAATGACTGTTGAGTCTCTCAAGTTTAAGGAATTCAATTTTGATCTCGATGTAAGTTTTTTTTAAATTGAAACTTTGTTAATGCCACTTTAGGTTTAAAGTGGTTAAAACGTAAAACCTCAAAATCATAAGATTAATAATGAGTAAAGCTAGTAGCCTAGTACTAATATTTTTTTGCATAACAAATGAATAATCTTCAATTCGCTTTTAAAGTTTTAGATTATTTTAGAAAACATGATCACACAAAATAAAGTGTACCTTAGTAGTTTATAAGGTTGTTAATTTACTTTTCAATCTCGTCTACAACGTTCAATTTTTCCTATTGAGCTCACGATTCGCAAATATAGTTTCATGTTTCATTATTTTTCAGCAAGTCCATTGAAGCAACTCAAACCCAAAACATCTGACTGAAAAAACCCAAAACATAGATATTTTGCTTCTTGTCATTTAAGTCTATAAAAAAAAATTTGTCAAGAAGGGACTTGTTGACATACTCATAGCCAATATTTACTTTGTGAAGGTCCATCTTTTAAGACAGTAACATTAAGTGAAAGCATCATAATTGTAGGTGAGAAAATCTCACCAGGAATCACATACATTTTAGAACATTCAAACATTAAAGTTCAAATAAAACCAAAAATTGCATGCAAAGTTCTTGGGGTTAAATGCAGCCTCAAAACTGTTTGGAGCCATCTTATTTTCATACCACCAACCCAAACAAAAGTCAAAACACGAGTTTCATCTACTTAGTACCAAGATATTCAACCTTCAGTATCCCATTCCACCCCATGTTTCGAAGAGAAAGGCAATGAAGATATGCAAAAAACGAATGATCTGCATTATGCACTTCCTTCTGCCTGCTTCCTTGCTTCTTCCCGCATAACAGCTCTTACATATATCTCATAACAACATCCTGAAAGTACAGATTAGGAAGATCAGAATGGCGGTTTCAAAAGTATTAGCAATCAACAGAAAATGGTGAAACTTAGAAACAGATCCATATTGATTGTTGCAAATTGCAGGCAAAACAAGCCAGTAGGGTATAAAGATTACAAAACATCACTCAGACGAGGGAATTATCTTGCTTCAAAGAAACTAGTATTCAATAGAGTGGCTTTTTTCAGGATTCAGAAGATAGCTAATAGCAGCCCAATAACAGTAAAAAAATGCTGCAAGGAACATAATTAATAGCCTCTGAATAACAAGGAGTTGGATATAAATCAACAGCGAAGAAGCTACTAATGTTCTTTCAATAGTTTCAGATATGAAAGCTGGGAACTGATCATTGCAAATTATATTAAGAGTAGCGTAGATCATGTCGCTCTAAGAGCACCAAAGGGTGGCTGATATTAGAAGTTGCATAGAATATATAAGCCTCTGAACAAAATCTGGACGTAACTCAAAATAGAAGAAGGCTTTAGGTTTTCTTTTTTTCCTTTGTTGGGGAATAATGGGTAATAGCAGAAGGTTCTAAAGCATTTTCAATGGATATAGCTGAGAAACCAATGACATGGATCTGATTATCATCGAAAACAAAAAAGTAATGCAGGGTAGTAAGATTACTAGTGACAGGGTGTTACTGCACAGTACACTCAGACCACTTTACCAAATTTTGTCACAGATGATAGATTACTGCATGTGTGATAGTTCTGTGACATTAGTACAGATACTATACTCCCAACCCCGAAAGAAATGGAATCATGAGCCAATATTGGGCTGCCTGTCTCAATTTGACGAATGCGCTCAATCAAGGGGATGGCATGAATTGAGTAACAACTTCACCTTCTCTGCAGTACATACCCTTTGGGGTCGTTTGGAATGGGGAATGGGATTAACAAAGTTATCCTATTATATATATGGGATAACTTATCTCATCATGATGGTATAAATGTGGGATAAATAATCCTCGGACTAACTAATACCTCTAAGTCTCTAACCAAATGCAATCATGCATCTTATCCCGAGATTATTACCCTTATACCTCATACCAAACGACTCCTTAGTCCCTTACAACTACATTCACAGAAAAACAAATAAAGTGAATCCAATAAGTGGTGAAGAGCAAAACCTGCTACTACAACAATAGTTAGAACATCTCCCACCCTTTTGAGGGTTCGCACACTTTGTTTATGTGATTTAAAGCGTTTCAAGGAGGGATCCGCTGCCAAGAGCTGCAAAAAATAAGAATTGGCAAGGATAAAACAGATGGAAAAAAACAGAGCAAAAAGAAAGAGCTACTGATGCAAACAATTAAGCAAGTTCAAATAAAAGAGATCCTACTTGTGAAATTAATAGCTTACAGCATTTTACCAAGGAAATTTAATGATTTGCAATTGAGAGCTCCACTAAAGAATATATCATACACATGGAAATATTAAAAAGCTCATGCTCATTCTAAATTTCTAATGTGTGCGCGCACACACATAGTTTGCTCATTCAAGCACACCTATACTAGAGGCACCATTGGATTTGACAAACAACCCCATCCCAAGCAACATTCACACGAGTAGCTAAAATATAAATTGTCTCGAGAAGAAGTCTAT